GTTGCTCAAGGTCGGCTTGGCTGGAGCCCAGGGGAAGAGGAGTCCCAGGGGGGGGCGTCGTATCTGACCCGGGGGGGGGGTCGACACCCCCCCCCCCCTCCCGGCGGGGGAGGGATCAAAGGGAAGGGGCTTCCCTTCGACTCAATTACGAGGTTGCTCAAGGTCGGCTTGGCTGGAGCCCAGGGGAAGAGGAGTCCCAGGGGGGGGCGTCGTATCTGACCCGGGGGGGGGGTCGACCCCCCCCCCCCTCCCGGCGGGGGAGGGATCAAAGGGAAGGGGCTTCCCTTCGACTCAATTACGAGGTTGCTCAAGGTCGGCTTGGCTGGAGCCCGGGAAGAGGAGTCCCAGGGGGGGCGTCTATCTGACCCGGGGGGGGGTCGACCCCCCCCCCCCCCCTCCCGGCGGGGAGGGATCAAGGGAAGGGGCTTCCCTTCGACTCAATTACGAGGTTGCTCAAGGTCGGCTTGGCTGGAGCCCAGGGGAAGAGGAGTCCCAGGGGGGGGCGTCGTATCTGACCCGGGGGGGGGGTCGACACCCCCCCCCCCCTCCCGGCGGGGGAGGGATCAAAGGGAAGGGGCTTCCCTTCGACTCAATTACGAGGTTGCTCAAGGTCGGCTTGGCTGGAGCCCAGGGGAAGAGGAGTCCCAGGGGGGGGCGTCGTATCTGACCCGGGGGGGGGGTCGACACCCCCCCCCCCCTCCCGGCGGGGGAGGGATCAAAGGGAAGGGGCTTCCCTTCGACTCAATTACGAGGTTGCTCAAGGTCGGCTTGGCTGGAGCCCAGGGGAAGAGGTCTCCCAGGGAAAGGGAAGGACAGAGACGACGAGTACAAAGAATGACGGAGATGACGGCTCGAACGGAAAAGCCCCTCACACACGCCGACAGGGTCGGCGGATTTGCCAGCACAGCCGTGGTCACCCATGCTTGCATCCTGGCCAGCTCAGTCGGGAGCGCCGACGCCAACATCCTCGCCAGCGCATTGCGGATCGCTGACTTCAGCATCTCGGCCATCAGAGCGCGGATCATCGACGCCAGCATTACACAACCGGGAGCACCGATGCCAGCAACCTCAGCCCAGCTGGGAACACCAACGTCAGCATCTTCGCCAGCACAGCGCGGATCACCAACGCCTAAATAATCGCAAGGTTTGCCAGGTGTACCGAAGTTAGCATTTTCGTCAGTACAAGCGGGAACATCCACGCCAGCACCCTCGCCAGCGCAGTGCGGATCACCGGCGCCAGCATCCTCACCAGCACAGCGAGGATCAACGCCGCCAGCATCCTTACCAGCACAGTGCGGATCACTGGCGCCAGAATATTTGCCAGCACAGCCGTGGACACCCACCCATGCCAGCACCCTCAGCCCAGCTGGGAGCACAAGCATCAGCATCTTCGCCAGCACAGCGCGGATAACCAACGCCTAAATAATCGCCAACACAGGTGGGAGTACCGCTTCTTCGTCAGCACAGCCAGCAACACCCACGCCAACATGTTGGCCAGCTTGGATGGAAGCATCGACGCCAGGATCCTCGCCAGCACAGTGCGGATCAACAACGCCAGCATCCTTGCCAGCGCAGTACGGATCACCGACGCCAACATTGTCGACGGCACAGCCGGGAGTGTCGATCGCGGTGCGGACCACCGGCGCCAGCGCCCTCCCCAGCACAGCGCGGATCATTGACGCGGGAAGATTTGCCTGCCATGCTGGGAGCACCATTGCCAGCATCCTCGCCAGTGATGACGGGCACTGACGCCAGCATCTTCTCCAGCATCTTCGCCAGTACAGCTCTGAACACCAGCGCATCTGTCTGCGCCATCGCAGCTGGGGGCACCGATGCTAGCATCTTCGTGAGCACAACCCAAAACACCGACGCCTGGACACGCACCCGCCCTTGGGGCACGCGGACCTCTGCCCGGGAGCTGGGGGCAGGGGGGCGTCGAGGCAGCCAGGGAAAGTACGGAAGTGCGCGACCAGGCGACCCAGCGGGCGGCCGAGGTCACAGGCCACGAGGCCGAGGCGACTTGCGCGCCGTCCGCCTTGGCCTCGGACGATCCCACTGGCGGCCCAGTCTACGCGATCCACCCTAGCGCGGCCGCTTGCCCAGAGGCCACGCCAGCGACGCGCGCCGACTGCTCCTGCGGTCGCCGCTACCTGGCGAACCTCGGGTTACCGTTGCGCCCTGCGGTCGGCGGACCAGGCCAGCCAGCAGGTCGCGGCGACGCTGCGCCCCTGGGATAACGAGACGGAAGGCCCGTACGAGGCGAACAGGGCGGCGGGCAGAGAGGCCTTTCGCCGTGTGGCCGAACGGAGGCGCCCCGATTCGCCCGCCCTCGCCTGCCAGGGGCGAGGATGGCGCCCGACCGCTGAGGGGCATGAAAGGCACACCTGATGGGGGATGCCAGGCGTCGGCGGAGGTCGATGGGGAGACGGCCCTGGGCGAGGTCGGAGACGAGGCGAACAGCGCCCGTGGTCTGCGGCAAAAGCGTGGACGACGTGGAGAAAGACAGAGGCGGCGCTGGACGGCGCCCTACCCGACGCCGCACCCGACCCCGCACCCGACGCCCCACCCGACGCCCTACCCGACGCCCTCCCAGACGCCTTTTCCTCGACGCCTGGTTGTCCTCCTGGCGACCCCCCCCCGACGCCCTTCCCTACGCCCTTCTCGGGCCCGACGCTGGCCAGACAGGCCGCGCCCCCGAGGTGGCGCAAAAGGCGGGGTGGTGAGCGGCTTGCGAGACGGGCGACGCCCAGGACGACGTGGTGCTGCGCGACGCGCGACCTCGAGCTTGCCTGGGCCCTGAGCACGCTGCTCGAGTGCACGCAGCCCCGGCGACGCTGCCGCGCGTTGCCTTTCGCGAGCCCGAGAACCTGGCTTGACCACGTCGCCTGGCGGGCGCAACCTGAAGCCCGGCACGACGAGGTCTGCTGTCGCGCCTGCAGGTGGCGGATGCGCGGCCCAGTAGGGTTGGTGGCAGGTTGTGCTAGGGTTGCGTGGCGACCGCTTGGAGGATCGCGCCTCGGACGGCGCATTCTGACGGCCCCTCCGGTTCCCGTTCAGTCGTCGTCGGTCGCATCGGCCAGCCACGGGCTCGGTCCTCACCTGGCCCTCAGGGGACTGGCACTCGCCGCGACCTGGCGCCAGACATTGTGACCCTGGCTCTGAGCCCTCCCCCCTCCCCCCTCTTCCTCGGGGGGCTGCTGGCTGCTAGCTTGCCCCGAGGCTCGCCAGCTCCTGGTTCCTGCGGTGTGTCCTGGTTCCTTGGTTGCCTCGCTGTCCAACCACGAGTGGCTTGCACCATTATGGTGCCTCTGCAGGCGCGCTGCCTTCCAAGGCGGCACGCTCCCTGGTGACAACGTGCCCCGATGCCCTGGCCGGAGCTTCTTCCCCGCAACGTGGACGCCCCCATGTTCCAATGCGTTTGTACCCATCAGGTGTTCCTTGCAGCGGAACGACCTGTGGCCGTCTACAAGTCCATTGTTCCAATGCGCTTGCGCCAATTATCCACTCCTTGCAGCGGAATGCCCCCCAACAACTCGTTCCCCCCTCGCGCGCGCGCCCTGTGCGCCAGCAACCCCCCTCTCCCCCCCCCGGTGGCCCTGCCCTGCGCGCGGCCCCCCCGAGGATTGCGCGCTGGGTGGGCCCCTACCTGGCCGGCCCCCTCCGGGCCGCCACCGCCCTGCCGATCCTGCGGCGGGGCCTCAGCCACGCCCAGCTGGCCCTGTGGCCAGGCTGCTGCCCGTCCCGCCTGGCTGCTATGCGTGCGCCGGCCGGGCAGGGCGTCTTTCTTCCCTCTCCCTCCCGCGCCGCCATGGCGCCGCCCTGGGCCGCCGCCGCCGCGCGTTCCCATCTGGCGTTTCTGCGCCGCCTCGGCAGTCGCCAGCATCTTGGTGGCCGGTTCCAGCAGCATTTGGCTGCAGCCCACGCGCATCGGCGCAGCCCCGCGCGGGCTTCTCGTGCTTTCGCTTGGACAAGGGTCCCGCATCCAGCTGGCACCGGCCCCCTGCAGCAAAGCCTGACGTCCCCGGCAACGTGACGGGCAAGCGGATGCCCCCGCTCTTTCTACCGCCCCGTGGGCCTGCTTCCTGTTTTCCTGGTTCACCTTGCTTTTCACGCCTCTAGCGCCTGCAGCCCTGGCTTCGGTCCATGGGTGTGGCCGTGATGCCGCCCTGCGTCCATGGCCAGGTCATTTCAGCCCCGGCTGGCCGCTCCAGCGCGCCCGTCCTGAAACGCTTTCGGCCGAGAGTGCCTTCCCCCCCCTCCTGTCTTCGGTGGCCGCTCCTTCCCCCCGAGCGCCCTCTTTGCAGCCAGACAAGTAGTTCGTCGAGAGCCCTCGTCATTTCGAACGCCCGCGCGGATGGCCTCTGTCGTGCTGCGACGGAAAAAGGTGTGTCGCGGTTCCTCGTGTTATCTTCGTTGAGTGGCTACCCGTCGTTGCTTGCGGGGCCTGTATTTTGTCGTGCGTCTCCAGGGTCCACGACGACGACGACGACGACGACGACGACGACGACAGGAACATTTACAAGTTGTCATTCTGGGGGCGTCTCGGAGGCCTCTGCGGCCACTTGGGGACCTTCCCGCGTGGCCGTATGGATCAGTCGAGACGCCGTTGGGAACCTTTGGAAGGGTTCAGGCGGTGATCGTCCAGCGCTCCAGCGACCCCTCTTGCAGGCGACAGTGGGCGGATCGAAGACGCCTACGGCGAATCACCGCCGCCCCCTACCTTTTTAGGGTGCGCCTCTGTGGCCAAATGTTTAGCGAGAGTATGGCCATGCTGTCGAACTATGTATCCCCTCTGGCACTCAAAGACTCTTCGGGGCACACATGGGGGAGAGGGGGAGGATCAGGAAGGAGGAGGAGGAGGAGGAGGAGGAGGAGGAGGAGGAGGAGGAGGAGGAGGAGGAGGAGGCGGCTTTTTGGCAGCGCACGCACGCACACGCGCACACACACACACACACACACACACACACACTCCAAGTCTCCCCCCCCTACTCCGCTTCGAGGAGGGCCTCTACGGCGTAGTGCGGCACCCCATATACCTCGGCTACGTGGTCGCCGTGGCTGGGCCGTGCATCGTCACGCAGAGCCCGGCGCGTGCAGTGGTGGCCGCCGCGCTGGCCGCCGCGCTGCTCGTGAAGATCGGCCGCGAGGACTGCGTGCGCTTCCTTCCGCGGGGCAACCGGGGCCCCCTTTGAGGGATCGCATGTCCAAGCCTCGACCCTCCCTCCAGCGAGGTCGAGGATCGAGGGTCGAGAATCGAGGGAGAAGCAGGGGCAAGAGTGGGTCTCCTGGGCTGGGCGTGTGCGCAGATGCCGCGAACATCCATCGACTGGTCCTCGCTCGAAACCTCCATCCTCGATCGAGCCGCAAGCCTCGATCCTTGGCCGATCCGCGATCTGCGATCATCATCCGATCCCGTCTGAGGCTCTCTCAGGGGGTCTCGGCCTCGGGGGCCTGGGGCCGCTATTCGGCGGCCCCGAGGTCCGAGGCCGACGCCCAGAGGCCGAGCACAGGGACGAGCATGATGATGTTTCACCTGTGCAATGTGATGGTTGGTGCACGGTCGTTGCTCATGTCCTGCAGGTCTGGTATATGCGCATGTTGGCTCATGTGTTGCTTGTGCAGTGCAGATGGGTGGCGGGTGGCAATCGAGTGCGTATGTGTGTGTTATTCATGTGTGGGAGTGTGGGAGTTGCTGTTGCATGCTGTTCCCATGTTGGTGCCGTTGGTGTGACTTCCAGCCACGTGTTACGAATGCGCGTCCTCAATGAGTCCTACGACGTATCTAATATGTATACTATTGGTTTCCATTATTGGTGTATGATCTTGATGTCTGGTTTTGATGTCTGTTTCCGCTTCCCGTGCGTGATGTATGTATCCAGTTGCGCCGCCGCGCGATTCGGCCACCGCGCTGGGGCAGGCGCCTGGGGTGGGGGCGCTTTGGAGCTTCTTGGGGCCTGGGGGCCTCTTGGGTCGTCCTGGAGCGCTCTTGGTGGCCTGTCTGGCGCCGTCGGAGGCTGTCCCTGGGGTCTCTCTGAGCCGTCTTGGGGACCTCTTGGGGTGTTTTAGCGCCGTATTGGAGGTCTCTCGGGCTGCACTGCGGCCCCAGTGGGGCTGCCTTGGGAGCCTGTTGCGCTGTATTGGGGCCCTCTTGGGTGCCCCTTCGGCCGTCCTGGGGCCTTTTTGGAAGCCTTTTTTTATGTTTCCGGCAACTTCAGAAGGCGTGAATACTAAAATTTGTTCCAAACATATGGGGGATCATTGATTTGGGCATCGTCGGGCCCGTCTGAGGGGTTCTCTTGGAGACCTCTTGGGGCGTCGTGAGGGCCTCTTGGATCATCTTGGGGCAATCGCGGCGGTGTTGGAGGCTATCTGGCACCGTCGCGGAATTCGTACAGGTTCATCTTGTCCGACTTGGAGGCCATAGTGGCCGTCTTGGAGGCCATTTGGGGCCATCTCGGCCGTCTTGTGGGCCCTCTTGGAGCCGCCGTGTGGGCGAGGGAACGCCAGTGAGGGGGGGGAGATTCCACGGAAACCCCTCCCCCACCGTTTGCTCAGAGTTCGTGACATCGATCGTTGCGAATGCAAAGAACGTAGGGAATGTGTCGACGCATCTGTTTGCCTCGAGCGGTCACCACCGTATCCAAATGTATCCCCGTCCTCCCCCTCCCCCTCGTCCTCCTGCGACGACGGTGAAGACACCGACGAGTACCGACGACAATCGAGGACGATGTGCCCCCCAGGAGGCGCAGCTCGCCAGGCGGCACGGCGACGAGTGGCGCTCGTACTGCAGGACCCCATCCTGCCCGCGGACGGCGCACGCGCCCTGGGGCCAGTGTCGGGCACCTCTGACGCGATTTGGTGAGCAGGCTCGCATGGGAAACATGGGGGCCGAGCGGGTCGGAATGGAGGGGAGGCCTCCCTGATGTCTCTGGCGAAGGCAACTATACACATACGCCGATGCTGGACCCAGGATGGGTGCATGTGCCTCTCTGGCCAGGCCACCATGGCGCATGCACCGATCCTGGGCCCAGGATGGGCCTGGCCAGGGTCGGCGCACTTCTCATTCCGAAGGCCTTCCGGCCAGTGCCGCCGACCCTCTTCGCAAGGACGACCCCCGGGGACCAGCCAACGGGACCCCGTCCCCCTGGCGGGGAAGGGGCAAAAAGGAAGGGGCTGTTGTTCGATTCGATGACGACGTTCCTTGGGATCCGACGTCGCAACAAGAGTGAAGCATCGTGAACAAATCCCAACTGGATCCCAAGACCGCGTCTTTCGGCGCCATTCTTCGAGCCGGATCGGTCTGCGATGGTCCCCGGGCCCGGAACGAGGCGAACAAAACGCCCAGCCCGAAAGAATGACGGCTCCAGGATCTCGGCGCTCATCGATCTTTCGGCCTCTGGAGGCCCGCCTCGGGCCCCGGGGCCGCTAGAGAAACGTCGGCCCAGGGCCCGAGGTGGGCCCGTCGGGGGGCCCCGCGCGCGCTGGCAGGCCGTGGCGCGCGTTCCCAGGGGCTCCCGCGACAACGGGCAGTGCGCGGAGACGGAGGTGGGCCACGCGCAGAGTGGGGTGCAAGGGGGGGGGGGACGGCCTCTCAGAAGCCCCACTGCTGCTTTACAGGCGCGGGCCTTATCTGTAGGTGCAAGGCCGGCGCCTTTTAAGACGCCGCCTCCATCTAAGAAGCCTCCCTTCTCTATCCCGCTTGTGCGCGCCGCCAAGGAGGAGGGGGAGGAGGGGGACGGGGTGGGAGGATCGGAAATGGTTGAACAGGCGGTTTAACTTAGTTAGCTTGTCAGGGAACCAGTTGTACACCACTAGGTACGAGCTATAACCAGCTTGTAACAAATTATAAACTGTTGCCACGAGCTGCAAGTAGTTTTATGGGCTCAGCACGTCAAGCTACTCAAACTCGTTTGTTTTAGCAAGTTAAGGCGGATTACGGCCTGATCTATAACATCGTAAACAAGTTAAACATGATAACGCACATTGCGACGGTATGCTAAAGCGAATCAAAGTTCAACCCATTTTCAGTGAGTTCAACCTAAGCTGAAGACAAACCTCAGCATTTGCTATAGCTCAGTTTAGCAGAGCTGAAACATATGCTAGCATGACTAGCGGCCTTCGGCCCATCTCGCCACAGTGCCTGGGTTGTGGGTAAGAGTTTTCAGGGATGCTTCTTCGGGTCTCTTCGGGGCGCTCTCGGGGGCCTCTTGGGATCAGTTTGGAAGCCGTTGACGGGCCTCTTGGGGGCTTCTTGGGAGCCTCTTGGGGCCTCTTGGGGGCCTCTTGGGGCCTCTCCGGAGCCTCCTGGGGCCTTGGGGCCTCCTGGGGGGCCCTCGGGGTCGATGGCTCGAAATGTCCGTTCGGTTTCCCCATTTGGGCCTCCTCTTGGAGCCATCTGGGGGCCCTCTTGCGCACTCCTGGCGCCTGTTGGGCCGTATTGGGGCCCTCTTGGGCCGTCTTCGTCTTGGATCACTCTTGGGGGCCTCTGGGGCCGTCTTGGGGCGATCTTGGGGGCCTCGTGGGCCGTCTTGGAGCGTCGGAGAGCCGAAAAGGCGAGAAGGCCAAAAAATCTTCAAACACCTAAGGAAAATCAATGATTCCCCAGAAATCTTTGTGAAGCCGGTGGCCTGGGCTTTTAATGTTTTAAAAGCCGTGCAATTTTGGACTTCTCCGGGCTGCATGGGGCACTCCACTACATGCTGCCGGCACGGTGGCGGATTTATGACCATTTAAGTTTGTTATTTTAACGCAGTCTACCAGTCTTACACTATGGTGCGCGTGATTGCCAACTTTCCATTCCCTTATTTTGTGAGTATCGTGCTTGCGTGTTTGTGGTTATTCCAATTAACTATTGTAACACAGTCGATCAGTCCTAGAGCATGGCCTGCGTGATTTCCAATGTTCCATGTTCTTTATCCGTAAGGGCTTCGCACCCTGCCGCTGGCCCCCTCTCTCGGCGAATGGGCAATGCAAGAGCGAAATCATGAGGCCTTGGCGCCGCCGTGATGACGCCAAGACGATGAGTAACCGGCAAGACAAATTGAGCCTCTGATGATAGTGTCGAATTCGGTGTTGCATTTCGAAGGTGTATGATTTCGGATACGCGAATAGAGCGTAATTTAAGAGGGCGTATGGTTTCGGTGTCGCAAATATAATGTAATTTACGCAGATTGATGGCTTCGGAAACGCGAACCTTGCGTAATGTACGAGGCTTTATGGCTTCGGACACGCGATTACCGCGTAATCTACGAAGGTGTATGGCTTCGGGGTTGCAAATCTTTGTCATGTGCGCAGGTTGACGGTTTCGGAGACGCGAATCTGGCGTAATTCACGAGGGTTGATGGCTTCGGGGGCGCGAATATAATGTGATTTGCTAACGCTTGTGGCCTGGGGGACGCAAGCATTGTATAATTTACTAAAAGGTTTATGGCTTCGGGGACACGAGTGTGGCGTATGTTGTAAGGTTTTATGGCTTCGAGGATTCGAGTATTGCGTAATTCACGAGGGTCCATGGCCTCGGGGACGCGAGCGTTGCAAAAATTACGAGGGTTTCTGGTTTCGGGGGCGCGAATTCAAGTACTTGTGCGTGTCCCACGCTCCCCCCAGGAATTCAGACAACGCGACTCGGGCGTGGTAACTAGGTTCTTTCTCGGCTGCCCCCCCCCCTTTCGCGCGGTCCATCAACAAAGAACGGCAAGCAGCAGAAAGCAGTACTGTAACAGTGGAAACTGGAAACTGGAACTGGCGCAGGGAACAGCAAGCCCTCGGCCTACAGCCTGGTGGCCCCACAAGGGGGCCGGCGGAGTTTGTGAGTACCGTATTTGCGTGTTTGAAAAGTACATCGCATGTGTGACCGCTCTGCTTACGCGGTTCTCGTCTACTCAACACAAAAGAGTGCGAGTGTGTATTACGCTTGCATGTTTGCAGTGCGATCTGTAGTTTGTATTTTGGTATCACTGATCGCATGTTGTACCTACATAGTTTTGTTGTTACTTCCGTGGGCACGCTAAAAGTGATGTAGGTAGTGGCGATGCAGGTTTCGGTATTGTGAAAACGCGTGGTTTGTGCTTTCTTGTAATTGTTCGATACATTTGAATGCTGGAATTGTACGAAAGTGTACATCGTGATTCCGTATATTTTGAATCCCAACACCACCGTTCAGCAATATCGCCGTCAGCCTGGCTTTGGTACTTGGTTCACGAGGTGTCGGACATAACCACGCGTCGGCATTTTACCATGTATCATCTTAACGAGTTTACCGCGTATCGTTTAACATTTTAATTGCGTTGCCAGTGTACATGTATTGGTTGCATGTATGAAGCTGTGCACGTACTATGATTTAGCCGTGCTGGTCAGATGTTTTTGTTGGCGCGTTTATTTTACATCCCATGCCTACCACCGCTATCGTCAACGTTTTGCCCTCCTCCTTCCCCATCGGTTGTCTACCAACTCACCCCTCCCATTGTTCCTTCGCGTACCCGCAAACACACACAGACACACTCCAGACTACTGGCCTGCATCCTGAGCTATGCTCTCCATCCCCCTTGCCTTTTTTGCGACTCCTCCCCCCCGCCCGTCATCGTGCTCGCCAACGTGTCCTTCTCTTTCCCATCCTCACTCGCTCGCTCGACTAATCGTCCTCCTGTTCCCTATCGCCATCCAAAACCATCACCATCCTCGTCGCCGTCATCATCATTGCTCATGCCCCTCGCCGTCCTCACCCGCATCACCCCACGTTCTCACTGCTCGACGCGCCTTCTCCTCCACGCGGCGCGCCCTCCTCGCCCCCCGCCTCTACCCAGCATGTGTCCTCATCCTCCTTCTCCGTTTCGTCGTCGCCTTCGTCCCCCGGAACCCACCCCCTCCCCTCCCCCGTCACCTTTCCTTGCTCTTTCGCGATCCTTCTCCACCTGCTCGTCGGCGCGATTGTCACCATACTCGCGCTCACCATCGTTGCACTGCATCCCCTCCTCTATCCTCATCATCATCCTCTTTCTTGGCCCCCCTCTTCCTTCACACTCGCCTAGCCCGTCCCCAATCATCCTCCTCGTTGCCCTTTTTTCATTCCTGCCCCCCGCCCCATCCCATTTCACAAGACAGGTGGCATGCAGCTATAAATGTAGCGGCGATTGCGGTCGTGCATCAACAAAATAGAGTTGCGGTGCAGCTCCTGCGGTGGCGCCATACAACCTCATTTCCCTCCTAACCGCAAGCGTGAATTCGCATGTACATCTTGAGACAGACTAAGATCGTTTCATATTATTTAACATAACGTTGTTCCAGATAGTTTAACCTACTTTAGTTTGTTTTCAAGTTGATTGACTTCCTTGGGGGTTCGGGGTCGAGGGGGGGGGGTCGAGAATCTGGGCTTCTTGGGCGGGGAGGATGATCGGGGGGAATCGGAGAGGAGGGGAAGGGAGGAGGGGGATCAGAGGGGGAGAGGATCGGGGAGGAGAGGAGGAGGAGCGGGGAGGGGAGGGGAGGAGGATCTAATCGGACCCAAGTTGTCAGGCCTCTAGAGAAGGAGGAGCCTGGTCGAGAATCAAGAAGGGTGAGGAGGATCGAAGACCAGAGGAACATCGAGGAGCGGGGAGGACTGGAGCAGGATGTTCAGGATCGAGGATGAGGATCGAGGACCGAGGATCGAGGATCGAGACCTTGACTCGGCCAGCCACTGAGACTTTTCTCTGTCCTTCTCCTTCTTAGATCGAAGTTATTGGGCGCTGTCGCTCCTAATTCTGGGCCTTTGTCAGGCTCCTCGTCACCACGGCTGGACGTCCTCCGAAGTTATGGGTGCGACGCACCCCAAGAGTCGTCTGGGGGTCGGCTCTTGAGAAAAGGAAGACCCACACCTCGGACGTCTCCCCCGCAAACTGAAAGTTAAACAAAAAGGAGGTCTGTAGACATTTCGGATCAAGTTTGGAAAGCCACCTGCGTTTTCAAGTTCGCACGTGAAGCCAGGTTGAGTCATGGCGGCCCAGGAGGCTCCAAGAGGTATGGCTGAAGCTATGAAGCAGGCAGAGGCGGGTATGGCGCTCTTCAAGGATAAGGCCGAGGTGCAGGTCGACAAGTCTGCCGCGGAGGCCTTCAAGGCATCGCACGAGGCCTTGCTGACAGAGGTGCAGAAGGTCATCGATTCGCTGACTGGCAAAGACAACAAGAAGGAGCGCACCGCGAAGAGCAAGGAGTTGTCCGAGCTCAAGGTCGACAGGCAGTACATCGACGCCTGCAAGGTCACTAATAAGAAAGAACCCAAACATTAGCTTTCGGAGCTCTCCGCGGATTTCCTGGATCTGCACTGGACTTCCCTGGCGGTACCTCCGTCGCCGCCCCCAGCTCGCTTCGCGCGCCAGGGAGGAGGATTCAGCGCAGATCCAAGAAATTTGCTCGGAGTTCCGAAAGTTTATTTTCACGTATGTCGTTTTCTCTTCTTCCAAGATCGTGAAGGGCCTGGAGCCCGTGAACGGCTTCTTCTCCGTGGCGCCCGCGGCTCCGGTCGAGACCGCGGCCCCAGAGCCGCAGGTTGCGGAGGCACCGGCCGGGAGGTTGGACCCCGACGCGAAGAGGGCCGCGAGGCCGGCCAAGAAGGCGGAGGCCGCGGGGCTGAGCCAGGCGTCAGCACGCTCGAAGTGGATACGGAAAGAATGAGTACGAAGACGAACAGTGTTTCCTGAGCTTTTTGAAGTAACAGGGTTCGTTGTCGTCGTCGCCGCGAGACGAAAGGTCGCCGGCCCAATAGTGGCCGCTGTCGGTTTGGGACAACATTTGCTGTTGGGTCTTGTACACATGTTTCCCGTACCCATTTCGGTTGTGCGAAGGCGGAGAGGAAGGAGCTCGACCAGATCAAAAACGACATCGTGACGCGCAAGGCCCAGCTGAAGGAGCAGGGGATGAGCGGCGGCCAGCAGAACAAGGACGCGCAGATCGTGGAGTGGGTCGCTCGCATGACCGAGCTAAAGGAGAAGGAGTGTCCAGGAAGCACGCAGAAGCCCGACAAGAAAGAGGAGAAGAAGAAGAAGGTCCTGGGCTCCGACATGCAGAAGGCGGCGGACTCGCTGAGGCAGGAGATCGACGCTTACAGGTCCAAGCTCAAGTCTGAGTTCGGCTACAGTAACAAGGAGATCAAGGCCGACCCCGATCTGGCAGAGATGGAGGCGAGGCTGCAGGCGATCGAGAAGTAGTGCGTCACGGTGGCGATTGGGACCGTATCGTTTCAATTGCGGGCTCAGTTTTTTTTTTTTGTTTACCTAGACGAGGTTTGCAGCACAGCGCGTCACGCTGAGTTGCAAGTGTACATTGTCCCTCCTGTGGGAGGAAGCGCACCGTTTAAATAGTTTTACAAGTAGCCGTGCTCGTTTCAAGCTGGGCGACGGGTAACGCGATTCTCGTCTCTTGGCATCTACTAGCCGCCAGTTTCAAGTACGCACGACTGTGCGCGCGACATTTCCTCTCGAGAGCGCGTATCGCCAAAACTAAGAATACAAGGAAGTCTTTCACAATCTTCGGCGTGTGAAGGCCGATTTCGGGGCCACGTGCCGGTCAAAACGATCCAGGGATCCGGAGCGACAAATTTATCGTTGGGAAGGAGGAGTCGGGGTGGCGTTTCTGGGCACCCCGGATCCGAATAAGAACACGGTATTGGAGGTCTGGGGTCTGGGGATCAAATTCGCGTGTTCAATTGTCGAGGCCGATCGCAGGGGGAGAAGGAGCATCGATGAGGAGGAGGAGAAGGAGGAGGAGGGGGTGATGTGTTTGTCTTCTTTCAGTCTTTGGGGACCTCCAGTGGCAGGCCTCTGGCACCACGAGACCACGATGGTGGGCTGGTTGTTTCTCAGCCTGCGGCTTTGGATCGGGCCGAACGAAAGGGGGGGGAGAGGGAAAGGGGGGGGTACGAAATCTGCTGCATGCAACTGATTTCGGCCCCGTCGCCGGGCCCATTCCTCGATGCATGGGCGCCTCCCGGCGCTGGGAAAATCATCTACGTGAGTTATCCGCCCCTTTCGTTCCCCCCGATTGGTGGTTCGTGTCGGGCCCTAGGATTACCAAAAGAGGACTGGAGATTGTAGCATTGTCGTGAGGATGATGTCGAGAGGTCCTATGGACCACGCCACAAACAAATCATGACATCGGACGTCTGGGAGGATGTGGAGGAAGTGGAGGGGGAGGAGGACCAGTGTACACCCAAGATTTATCAACGATGTTGGAATAAACCCTCCCTCCAAGATCCCTCTTCGCATGTCCCTACAAGGGTCATTTCCACCGAGGGAACTGCCTCGTTGGGAAACAACCGTTTGAAGACCCTGAAGCGTGCCAAAACAGCATTCTCGGGACTCCCACGACATGAATCAACATGATTGTTGCGTTTTGACGATCCAGAATCGTGCTAGAACGCCATACTCAACATCGCACTCAGGCGATAACTTCATTTTGAAAATGGCCAGTCCTCAACCCGTGAAATGATTGCAACGCTTTGCAGCGAACGTGCTCGGCGATAAGGCGAGAGTCGCATTTTGAAAACGACCCGCCCTCAATATGTTAAAAACGGTGAGGAAGTCTCAGGCGAAACACCCAGCCCGCCCTTTCGACCGACATCGGAGCGCGACATTGAGGAGATATTTCTCAGGAAAATAAATAGAGAGCCGTGTAGGAAGGGAATGAGGAAGGGGAAGAGGGGGGAGGGCGGGGAATGCGGGAGAGTTTGGCATCACACGCTGACTCTACACGCGCCCAGGGCTGCCGTCGGGCACCTACGCTTTGGCAGGCGTATGTGTTTCATAAGTCGTCGTAGATATTCGCGAGACGGGCGAGCAGAGAGGGAGAGAGAGAGAGAGAGAGAGAAAGAAAGAAACAGAGAGGGGCACAGAGGCAGAGAAGGAGAGCGGGACGTGGAGAGAGCGAGATGTGGAGGGAGACGGGAGGGGTGAGGAAGCGGAGCGGAGGTGAAAAGGAGGTGCAGTTGGAGGGACCAGCGCACGTTGGACAGGAAAGGATTGCTGGCGGCGCGCAGGAGCGGAACCGCGCGAGGGTGGCGGCCTTCCGACAAGGCAGGGGGAATTATCAGAGGCAATCCTGCTTTCAGGACGGCTTCCTGCAGGCTGCCGATCCCATCTGAGAAACGCCTCCCGTGCCTTCCAAGAGGACCACCCCTCTCGCGGGACCTCCCCCTGCTCGGCGTCAAGACGGCGGAGGAGGAGGAGGCGGAGGAGGCGGAGATGGAGGAGCAGGAGGAGGCGGAGATGGAGGAGCAGGAGGAGGAGGAGGAGGAGGAGGAGGAGGAGAGGGAGGGGGGGAGGGTGAGAGCCTCAGGCCCGAGCGCGCTTGGGGCTATGCGCGTCTCCCTCCGGTGGGCAGTCGCGTATCCTACGAGATGCTTCCCAACGCACAATCTCACACAACACATCCTGGCCACCCCATTTCTCGTTTTCTCGCGCTTCCATCCTTGCCAATATTGCGTTGAGGCCAATATGGACCGCAGGTATTGTTCTTATCGACCGCGTCCAATTTGGCCTCAATTATGCCGAGGAGACAACGGAGGCAATGCTCATGCACTCCATGGGGTCGGATTTTCGGCACGTGCACATTGTGCCCACATCTCGTTTAAAGATCTGGGACGATTTACCACTTGCATCGACATCTGCAGAAAAAGACACAGCGCACATACCAAACATGTCAGCTTACTTCAGACATGGTAATAACGATTGACATGGCAGCCGTACTCCGAACCAGCAGGCGCACCGACCAACAGCCCGCCCAGCAGACCATCCAGTTGCTGGCCACCCACCGACCAGGAAACCAGCAGACTGCGCAGCAGACAGCACAGCAGACCAAACGGCAGACAACACAGCAGCACACCCATCAGACCACACAGCAAACCAGACAACCACCAGCAGGCCACTCAGCAAGTCACCCACCGACTAGCAGACCTACCGACCACCGACAGACCAGCAGACCCACTGACCAGCAGGCTACAGAACACCGACCAGCACACCACCGACAACTGACCAGCAGACCCGCTGACCGCCGATTCTGACTCCCGGCCTACCTACCATGCCGCCGTTTTGGTTTGTACCGCCCCCCCCCCATTTATTTGCGGTGCCAATTCTGCCGTCACGGGTTGCAGGCGACGTCCAAGATGGCAGCGGCACCGTCGTTCACGACATACACGACACCATAGTTCCAATTACGGCGCCATCGCGGGCCACCGTTACGGCGTCATTACGGCGCTCATCGGTTATTCTGCAGATTCATTAGCCAGCAGACCACCAACCAGCAGGCTACTGACCTCCGACCAGCAGACCAACGACCAGCAGCCCACGACCAGCAGACCACCGACCAGCAAACCACGGACCACCAAACAGCAGATTAACGACCAGCAGAACACTGACCAGCAGTCCACGGAGGATTGCCCAGCTGACGACCGACCAGCAGACCAGCAGATTACCAACCAGGACACAACACACCACAGACCAGCAGAGCCATCGACATGCTGACCATCAGACCCATTGACCAGCAGATCTTTCGACCAGCAGTTCACCGACTTGCAGACCACTGACCAGCAGACCACCGACTATTTACAACTCTCCCCGACGACTAGCGACCACCTCCACGATGACCCATGCAATACGCCACGCCTCACGACCACGCCCCCCCGAACGACGCCCTACCCCACGACCGCGACACCCCAACGGACGACTGCGACAGCCACCAAGCGTCGCGACAGCCACCACGACAAGAGCGAAGAAATACGACAACCGACATTACAACCACCGTGGAACACGACAGCCACCACGACAACCACCACGACAGTTACCACGAAAAACATAAAGCCATCACGATAGCCATCAAGCACAACGACAGCCACCCAGACAACCACCAAGCATTACGACATGCATCACGGCAGCCATTACGCACCGCGGCGGCCACCACGACAGCCATCACAACAGTTACCTTGACAGACACAACGACCGCCACCACGATGACCACCAAGCACCACGGCAGCCACGAGATCCACCGACCGCTACACTTATACCCAAGACAGCCAAGCCACCAAGCACCACGGCACCCACCACGACAGCCACCACGACAACCAGCACGACAGTTACCACGACAGACACATATGTAGCCACCACGACAGCCACCAAGCCCCACGACAGCCACCACGACACCACGACGGCCTTCACGACCACCACAAAGCCAGCCACCACGACAGCTACCACGACAGCCACACATGCAATCCTTTACGCAACGAAGCATGCCCCCGCGACCATTGCCTTTACTTGGATGATAGCGACCTCTACGCCCTACCCGACGACCGACCCCAAGGCCTTCCCGACGCCTTCCCTGAAGCCTTACCCGACGCCCCCTTTGACGCCCTTCCCGACGCCCGTCCCGCAATTAACGACGACGACATTTTCACCTCCACAAGCGACGACGACGACAACCTTGACGACTTCTTTGACGATTGCTGCGACTACGGCGGTTGCCTTTTTGACGATAAGTTTCCCTTCGCCTACGGACTACACGACACCCAGGCCAGCGCCATACCCGACGACCAAACCAACGCCCTACCCGACGATCAATCCAATTTCCGACCCGACGCCTTCCCAGACGCTCAGCCCTAAGCCGTACCCGACTCCCCATCCGACGCCCTGCCCGACGCCCAGCCCAACAATTTACCCGACACCAAGTCCGACGCCTTATTCGACGCTTTACCCTCCGATGACGCCAGACCCGACACACCCAGCCAGAGGCCTCACCAGACGCCCAGCCAAACGTCCTACCCAACGCCCAGGACGACGCCGTATCTGACTCTCTAGCCCGCGTCCAGCCCGACGCCCGAGCCAACTCCTTACCTTACGCCCAGCCCGACGCCTTAGCCGACTCCCAGCCCGCCGACCACCGACCAGCAAATTACAAATGTTTGCCAGCAGACCACCAACCACTGACCAACAGACTACCAACCAGCAGACTACCGATCCACCGAGCAGCAAATTCCCGACCACCCATCAACAACCGAGCACCGATTTGCAGATTACCAAGCAGCAGATCTACCGACCACAAGCATATTGACTACCGGCCAGCAGACTACCGACTACTGACCAGCAGACTACGAAAGACCAGTGGCCCCAGACGACGGCTGCGACCACCCCGACGACCCCATCACAGACGCAAACGAACGACC